TCTTCTCTAAGTCATATTCTTTGTCGCACGAAATTACGTTCCAACTTCTTTACAGTCAAATATAGGCAAACATGGAACTTCTTGCCAAGTGAAATTAAAAATAGCACCACATTACAACGATTCACCTATCTAGTAAATAAATATTTCTCTGAAAACAGTCTTGAAACAGTTTGCCACATACTGAAAATTCGTGATATTGTTTCTTTCCCATTTGAACTACATACCTAAACACCTTTGTTCACCGAAAGCATTAACAGAAACGGTCAGTATTATCGGACACATTTAAAATAATCAACGTTGCACTAATGCTGTTCTCAGTTCCTTTTTTTAGTTGATTCAATTGTTTGTCTAGCAAGCATCATCACAAAATATTCACAATCCTTTCATACAAACCTGGAGTGGAATACTCAGCCTGATGTATCACGAAAGCTGCACTGAATCTACATGAACTACCCTCACACCTTATGTCATACCTTTTCAGTGATTCAACTCCATTTAATCCCAGCTGCTGACTGTCAAATTAATCAAATATTATGGTGAATATCCCTGGCAAAACTGTATTTTGGGCAGTTCAGTGTGGTGGAAGTTCTACCTCAAGGTTGAGTAGTAAACAACCTGGATATAGCTGGGACTAAAATCTCCTCTGGTGACTAGCTAATGTTGTGAGTAAATACCACCTACGTCTACGCAAATTCCAGCCCTATGCCGGATTGCCTAAAAAATCAGCTTAACTTCACTGTGAGTTTTAAATATTAGCGGATTTTTATTTTACGGTTCTGTTATTATAATCCTTCATTCTTCTGAACCATCTATTATAATTAACTACTGCCTCTTTTTATGCATATATAAACATAACTGTGTACCTTTATGTATTTTTCTCTTCTCATACCATTTCATATTGCCCCTTCGTTTCATATGTTTATAACTAAAATCTAGAAGGTAGACTGCAAATCTCTGATTTCCTTACTTTTTTTATTGTATATATATGTTTTTAAAATGCTGTTAGGGACGATGCATACAAAGTGGCTGACTGAAAGTAGTCGTTCATACCATGAGTTTCGTTGAGTAAGCTGGTGAAGGCGAAAACTGTCTATATGACACTTAGCAATAAAAAATTCTTCTAAAAACAAGAGGAGCATTTCGCCAGGGCCTAGCAGATTAAAAGGTGGGAGGGTGGTGACCGCTATTCAGCGGATATGATGGTGGGGACTTAAGAGAACCACCCTTATCTGTGGGAATGCGCTCTATTGCTAAGGTTCCTGAGTGTGAATGACTTCAAAAAAAATAATAATAAAATAAAATAATAGCTGCCTGTATAACAAAGCTTGTGTGTAAACTCTTTGAAAACAACCTCATGGTACGATTTCTCTACTTCAGGAGGACATCTAACTGTATAAATCAGAACATCAGCATAAATAAATATCATCACTCTTTTCGTTTTTCTTCACTTCTATATATTTTATGTAATTTGGCGTTTGGATTTAGCCTCTCCACTTTCTATTCCCATTATCCTATATAGGTTTAAAAATCATTATTCGTTTTGGCCTTGTTTTTAAAAAAATTTGTTATTCTATATTTTTTTGTTGTTGTTGTTTACTACCACAAACTTGAACTAACTTAGTATGTAACACTATAAAACTCAATGACTCTAAATTATTAGTAACAAAATGGTGGAATAAACCCTGCGTTTATCGCATATTGTTTGCTTAAATTATTATTATTTGCTGGCTGCCTCTGCACCTCTCTTTCTGTTTTCTTCTTCCTTCTCGAAGGTATTGCATTGATGCACTGCAAATGAACAGTAATGCTGCTTTCTACGTTTTTATTACTTGAGCGTTATTCAGAATGTTGTTGGCAGACACAACGAACAACGGAAGAAATTTCATTCTGAGTACTGTTTGTCATCGCAAAGCTGGTCCCTTGTATCTGTTATTACCAAAATAATGCTGTACTTACCCTCTACTATGGAGTTGTTTTTTTAATATTTGAACCCTTATTAATTGACAAAATGATAATGATCACAAGGCCTGTATCCTGTATGTCTTACTCTAGCACATGTTTATCACCTCTCTTCTTACCTTCCATTAACGCAACATTTCGTAATTCCCGCATGAATTTAACTGACTATAAGTATATTATAGACTATAAATTAGACTTGAACCAGTATATTGTAATCTATTCTAACAAAGTTTCTAGAGGTTTTTTTCCATTTTTCCAATTTCTGATGTCAAAAAACGGTGTTCCATTTCAAATTGTACTTGTCGAATATGATCATGCCTGTACAAACGGTATGTTAATCATGTAAATGTTTAATTTATGTGAAATATATATATTAATATCGTTTTTACGAGCTAGTATAAACTAATTTGATTTCTTTGTGCTCGCCTCTTGATTGTGAGGTATAGGTTCCTGATCTTCGGTAAACTTCTGCATAGCTCGTCCCGCCACTTGACTGTCGTAGCTTTGGTTGACTCCAAAAGGAGTAGTGCAGGGATTAATTATATGTGGTTTGTAGTAATCATTTATAACTCTCGCGTGAATTTGATATGCCGTGATTTTTCTTCACCAAAAATTTATGCTTGACGCTATATCCCATAACTTATTCTGTCGAAAACAGATTTAAAAACTTGTCTATTCACTTATTTGCACTTTTCTTTTTCAATGCTTTCATCACATAAGTCAGTGTTCAATCTATATCTAAATTAACAAATCATATTATATATTCTACCGGTTCTAACTAGTGTACATATGTTCGCGTCTGCAAAAATGGCTGGTTTCTGTTCCCAGTTTGCGCATATTTTAATTGCACTCACAGACTTACTCAGAGGTTAGTATAAGACATTAAGCATGACATCAGAGACTCAGGAAGCGTTGAGGAAAATTAGGATGGCAACAGCGGAGGAAACCATGCTAGTCCAGAAGTCCAACTTGCAATCAGCATCTCTGTTGACGCATCTAACACAGTCATTGGAGCTGTACCACAGCGACAGGTGCATACCTTACGGATACTGGCAGCGTTTTTCTCTCGGAAGTTGTCCACATCCGAGGCAAGGTAAAGCACTTTTGGCAGAGAACTCCTCACCATTTATGCTACTATCAAACATTTTCAACACTTTGTCGAAGGTCGGCAGTTCGCGAATTTATCGACCACAAACCACTAACGGATGACAGTCTTCACAACCTCTCAAACCCAGGAATACGCGCAACGGGCAGGTTGATATCTGCTAGATATGTGTGGTCTGGTATAAAGTGTGATGTGCATAACTGGGCGCGTGCTTGTGTGAAATGCCAACACGCTAAAGTTGCCAAGCACAATATCATGCCAATCGGGTTTTTCGCAACACCCGAAAGCCGGTTTAACCATGCACACCTTGATATCGTGGGTCCACCATCCCGTTCACTGGCCACTTGTACTTGCTCACATGTGTTGATTGTTTTACACGTTAGCCAGGAGATATTCCAATCCCAGACGTAACCGCTGAAACCATCTGCCGCGTTTTCATGGAGCGATGGGTTACGTAATTCGGATTCCCTTCTGCAGTGACTACTGACCGTGGACAAGAGTTTGAATCAACAACTTTTGAGAAACTTGTAGACCTGTTGGGATGCAAACGCATCAGGACAACTGCGTATCACCTATCGGCAAATAGAATAGTAGAGGACTTTCATCACTGATTGACAGACTCGTTAATGGCAGTGGATAACAGCAGTTGTACAGAGTCTCTGCCTCTAGTCCTACTCAGCATTCGTTCTACACTCAAGGTAGATCTTCAGCGCACCTCAGCTTAGTTATGGCACCACTCTCCTTTTACCGGGTGACCTTATCCCTCCTGAAAGTTTTGAGCCAAGCTTTACTGATGTCAGCTGTTATCCTCAGAGTTTAAGACACTTTATGCAGCGACTTTGACCGGCTCCCACACGCACTCAAAACAAGAAAGTACACGTAGATACTCAACTCGATGATTCTACATATGTTGAGGTCTATCTTGAGTACAATCAACGCTTACAGGATAAACAAAATGGTCGTTGACAGTGAAAGGCCTGGGACCAATCGAGTTGACGATTTCCTTTCATCCTCTACACCAGAACTGAATTATAAACGTATATGAACGCTTTGTTACTCAGTAGACAAACATTCTTCTACATAGAATGTAATTCATTTCTAGTGAAAGCCTACGTGACATCGTTCAGAGAAAAAGGAATATATGATTTCGAATTAACATACTATCAGGCTGAAAATTCGTGGATGAGAGACAAACCCTGACAGGGGAAAGCATGTATAGGGATTGACTACAAGCCCAGTGATCTACCCGCCACATACCTTCATGTTTGCTAATGCAAATACAATATTTCTATCCTTGTCAATGCACTACATCTAGAAATTTGATAGTAAACCGCTCATTCTAATGCTATAAGGAGCAGAGGAAGTGTAAGACTGACACAAATGAAATTCACCTAATTTGAATAGCTAACTTATTCATAATTGTGTAATGGTGTGTTTCGGATTGTATCCTTCACACATCACATTCCATATAACATCCTTCACTAATTTTCCTTGACTAGTTTACTGACCTATCTATCAGCGCTTCAAAGTTAGAATGCTCGCCAACCACGCACGTGGTCCAAGGATGGATCCCCACCCGCTTTATTCCTAAAACTTTCTAAGCCATGTTAAGAAGGGAGGTTGGGCATGATGCTAGCAACCTGACCCCGTTAAAAAACCCCGCTGTTACACAAGCTTCATAGCCCCAGTTCGGAGCCTTTATTTCAATGAGGAACCTAAGGGAAAAAAACAAAATAAAAAAGATGAACAGTTTACTTCGTTTCTGTTATCTCTCATATATTCACAGTTTTATACCTCTAATCTCATTTATTCACCTATTTTTATCACTAATGTTACCATCTTAAACATTATTGTCTAATTTTTTAATTCGAAACGATTGACTTGCACCATTGAACATTGCTTTTAACAACCTATTTAAGTAATTTATATGAGTTGGCGCTAAAACGTGTACACATATTCGACGTCGAAGTCAGAATGAGGTTGACAGATGTATTCGCAGTTGTCTGCATCCTGCTGTACCATGTTGCGACAATTCAAGGTCTGAGATTTAAACTGAAGAACGGTGTAACAAAATGCATCCAAGATGAAGCTCATAAGGACATAATTGTTCATGGGGAATATGAAGTTACTTCTCATAACCAAATTTGTCATATCAAAGTCCGTGATGCGAAAAAGCATATTCTGTACCAAAGGGAAAATATAAAGAATGGAAAATTCGCCTTTACTACAGAAAACTTTGAAATATTTGAAGTGTGCTTTGAAAGTCAACCAAGTAACAACTTTCTCATTATTTACAGTTCATTAGGCAATGATGAACAGGAACAAGAAGTTTTCCTTACCATTAAACATGGTACTGCAGCCAAAGACTTTGAAATGGTTAGTCTTTTTATACCTTTTTTATTCTTAATAGCTTGCCAAAGCAGAAAAGCTACAGCCAATTGAAGTAGAGCTTAAGAAACTTGAAGGTTTGGCTGATGAAATTGTTCAAGAATTTACTCTCATGCATGCTAAGAGTGGTGCAATGCGAAACATTAACGGTAAGCTTGATCGATACATTAGTGTAACTTTGTTTTTTTGGATGAACCTCGCATTTAGGCAATGGTAGCATTTGTACGCAGACATCCTACTTTTCTTGACAAAAGTCAAATGCTGTGTTATGTTTTGCTACTAAATCGCATAGGAATGATGAAATGAGTGCGAAATTGTTTTAAATTACTTTAACTAATCCTAGCGCGTTTAAAAAAAAGACAAAAGATTTTTCTGAACGTTTCACCGTGTAAAGCATTGATTCTTCAGCGGAATTATCGGATTATTCGTAACATCTACGATCTGGAATCTTATGGTATATAATTGTGTTAAGGGTTTTACAGAATTAAGAAAAAATTGGCAACCTGTTAGAGTGGATGGGGTTATTTTCTGTGTGATTTTTTCACTTTCACGAGTCAAACTCGCATGCATGAATGCAACATAAACCGATATATTGGGCCCATATTTAGGCTTTTCGGTGACACTATTCTGTAATAGGAGGCACTTGGAAATAATGGAATCCTTGCGTCAATGTTCATTGTAGAAATGGTGATAGTGGTATTATTATTCCCTTGGGTTCCGAGTGGGACTCAAGGCTCCGGCTGCACATCTGTTTCATTCTGTCCTCTGCAGTCCTATTTGGCTGGCTCTCCCTATTACCTATAAGCTCTCTCAAATGATCTTCACGTCGACCTCAGACGCCCAAATCGTTGTTTCCCACTCGAGCTCTAATCTAAGACCCGGCGCCTGATGCCTTACAACGATTTCATAAGCGTATGTCCAGTCCATCTGCACATTTGTTTGGCAATAGGTTCCTGGTTGGTCGCCAACGTACTATCACACCTAATTATATTACCTGGTCACGGTATTCATGTTACAATTCCATGGACTAGCAAAGTGTGCCCAACTGTGAATCACGGTCTTAATGACCACGGTAAGTAGTAAATTTTGATGCAAGAATTATGTTTTTAATTTAGTACGTATGAGCTTCAAGTATTCCTATATCTCTTCATGTATAATAAGCCTTAAGTGACCTCTCACAATGCACTGGCGTCCATTTGGAGGCCGTCATTCACAAAAAACACACTACTTCGTAAGTAATTGACTCCATGACCTCTAGACTTTCGGGTGAGAATACAAAAGCTAAAGTATCTTATCTATGTTGTCATCTGTGGCACTGTTATTTTGATGAGCATTATACTTTACATAGTATGTGTTTTAATATCTAATTTCTTAAAATTTTTTCTAGAATCCACTCACAAAAGAGTTCTTTATTTCTCAACACTTTCAATGATTATCCTCATTGGTTTCGCATGTTGGCAAGTTTTGTATTTGAGGCGTTATTTCAAGTCCAAGAAGCTAATTGAATAAAGCATGGGTCAAACGCTCATCACTCTGTTGGCTCTTACTGTATATGCCTCACAGATATTCCCTTGTGGCTTTGTGAACGCCTAACACATGACGATTCTTGTACAAATTTTTATCTCATAGACATAAGAATTCCTCTATTGAGTGCTGGTTTTATATCTTACTTGGTATCTGTATGTAAAATTTATTGTTGTTTAGTTAGCAATATCGTGATAATTAGTCACAGTTAATTATTATGTATTGTTTTTTGACTTTCCTCAGTAAATATGTTTTTAAAATACGGTGTTTTTCAATACACCTTAAGTATCACAGTCTAGTCCTACGTTCTGCCTCACTATCGAAATAGATGACAACAATCACTCAATTATATGAAAATCACATTTTTAACTCTTGATGAGGCATTCTCAAAAATATTTTCTTAGTTCTGAATTTCAAAAATAGATAGCAACTATGTAAGCAACACGTTCTGAAGTATCATTTAGTAAACAACTTACATGACGAAGTTGCTTGCTCGTTAAAGCCTAAGATCATGATGTCTAAAATCACTAAACTTTGTTTATGGAAGAGACGTGATGTTTTCTGACGTCATTTAGGGCGCAGAAAAGAATGTGACGCACCCCAGAGGATGACAACCAGTTGTATTCGCCAAATACTCACGTTTCTGCTATTCATAATCGTTTTGCAGGAAGTATTGTGATGGAAATAACTCTTGTTAGTCCTACCTTCTTAGGGGAAGAATCGCTGTCTGGAGAGCATATGATTTATTTCAACAACTGAGTATGGAGGTACTAGGTGTTGTGGATTTCTACTCTGCTCCAGGCCTCCCAAGAAGTGTCTGGAATCATTAGATACGCTTCTTTATTGCATGGCGGCTCGTCCGGAACTGGCTATTAACTCAAAAGTATGGGATGCAGTAATCGAACCCACCGATACTTGTACAAGTTTACATTCATATTCCTTATTAACATAGTTCGCCTTTAGTGGTACTTCAGGGGTTGTGGCTTAATTCAATTGAAACCATGAATTCGCATTGACCAATGGTACTCCAAGTTAAAACAGTAAAACACCATACTATTTATTAAGTGATGACTCCTTGTTCTTAGCACTCAGATGATTCAACTGGGATTCAGATGCTTGGAGAAACTTTAATGAGATATCACAGTTGTCTTATGCTCTCTGAAGCAATATGTCCAGAAATACTATTTCATGAGGTGACTTCACAAAACGAAGCAATCTTAATATGATTACGTCACCAGAGTCATCTAGTGATCTCACATCCTTCTAAATTCCCACCTCATATCATTACTCATAAAGATGCAACATGCGCTCTAAGGGACCTTTGCCGTACAGCTAACACTATCAGTTTTTTGGGTGATGAGTAGTTTGGTTACATATCGCGCGGAAGCTATATATATGAATAACGTGTGTAAGCAACTTCCAAAAGAAAAGCCTATACGTAAGAGTGTTCCAGAGAAGATGAAATGAATTACTACTACTAGTCGGTTCACACCTAGATCGTTCACGTGACCTGACGGTTGATTCTCAACACTGTTATTATGTCGGCCAGAAAACTCATTTATCACTTCCTGGATTGTTATTTCCACTCGATGGGAATACTGAGTTAGTGTTTGACGCTCCGCTGACTGCCGTACAGACCTTCACAAGACTGTTTTATACTTCTGCTTGGATTACAACAATGTAGGTAAAGTTTTCACTGTATCCGAATCTTCAATCCAATTCAGTCATCCACGTTGAAAGTCATATGAATACAGTATACACAGGCTGAAGACTTGATACCTTCGTCAGCTGAAAGTCTTAAATCAACTCTCGTCAACCATTGTTATAAATATATAAATAGCAAACGGAAACTAAATAGCTTATTAACCAAGGAACATAGGGAAGCCCTGGATAAGCTACGAAATAATGAGAATATAATAATTACGAAGCCTGATAAAGGTTCTGGAGTAGTAATCATGAATAAGACAGAATACCTAGATAAGATGAATGAAATACTCAGTGATCACCGAAAATCTCATCTTCCGTTGATCCGACTGAAAAAGTTCAGTAACAACTAATTGAGTCACTAAAAAGACGTAAACAACAAAATGGTATCACAGAAGGTTTATATGGGTCTCTAAAGCCTACTGGCACGGTTACACGAAGATTATATGGACTATTAAAAGTGCATAAAATTGGTTTGCCACTTCGACCAGCGCTGTACACGGGTAGTTTCCTATGTCACGTAACAGCGAAATGGTTAGTGAAGCTCCTGAATCCTCTGCATAACGAATTGGTAAAACATAGTATTGACGGTAGTTTTGAATTTGTCGAAAAAATAAGAGATCTCAATGTGAATGACAAGTTTATGATATCTTTTGTTGTGTCCTCCTTGTTCACAAATGTACAGTGCATTTATATGTAGTGAGATTACTACGCAAAACATAGACATCGGCATTTCTGTATCCTCCTTGAAGGAACTTATTTTAAGGTGTACAATGAGTTTTCATTTATTTAAAAAGTAATATTACATACAAACTGATGGTGTAGCTATGAGTTCCCCATTAGGTCCAATCCTAGCTGATATTTTCCTCGCTAAGTTAGAAAATGGATCACTGAAAGGAGTGATTAATGAGTTGGAATTCTACTGTCAATATATGGATGATGCATTTCTAGTTATGAGAAAGGAGAATGAACATCCTCAGCAATAAACTTTACCATAGAGAAAGCAAGTAATGACAGTATCTCATTCCTAGACGTCTTCCAGGCAAGGGAAGAAGATGGCACATTGAAGAGTGGGGTATAGAAAACCTACAAGTCAGTAGGCTCATTTTTTGAGTTTTGCACCTTTGAAATATAAACGTAACCTGGTAAAGTGTCTGGTTCATAGAGCTAGGTTAATCTGTTCAAACGACTGCCTCAATGAAGAGCTCAAGATTACGTTATAAAAATGGGCACCCAGATAAGTTCATTGGGAAAAATATGAATTCAGCACCTAGGAGAGTCAGTATGGCAACAAGTTCGAAAAAACCACCGTTCATGTAAGTGCAGTTCCTCGGTGACAGTATCAGCGAAATAATAACATAGCGCCTGAAGAGCGCAGTTCAAAAGACTTATAATGCACCAGAAGCACGTTCTCTCCACTACCACCTCTATTCTACGTACCAGAAATAAGGATAAACTATTTAAATTTGTCTCTTCTATGTGTATCTACCAGTTTGACTGCAGCTACATAAGGCGTACAATTAGGCACGTTCATCATCGTGTTTCCGAACATCATCCATCATGGTTAAACAAGATCTACTCGTAGCTCTAGTCTAGCACACCTTTTAGATAGCGAGCATAAAGTCGACGTTAACACAGCATCTAAAATTATTTATCGCATTCCTACTAATCTTAATTTCGCTTTACGAGTTCGTCGTCTACATACAGCTGAAGTAATAGTAATCCACCTGAAGAAGCCAAACCTGTGTGTTGAGAAAAAATTTGTACAGCCACCTTCCTTACCTTGGCCATCATTACATGAATGTAAAAAACGGACTACTTCGCCCCCCTCTCCCTAAACCTTTAAAAATTATAATTGTCCAAATTATTATTATTTTGCTGACTACTTCACCTTAATTTCTTTTATTTAACAGTCTGTTACGTAATCAACTTGAGCACACACTTATTCCTTAATTATTCTTCATTTTTCCAAAATTATGCATATATATATATATATATTAGAGCAGAGCCAGAGATAAGGATCTAATTCCAAAGTAAATATTTCTTCGCTCAATCCTTTTGCTTTGTAAACGTATTAAATTATCCATGGGTAGTTAAATACCTTACTTTCGCTACCAAGGAAGTGTATTAATACGTCACAAAACGAATCGACTGAAAGTGTCATAGTCAAGAAATACTATAAATTCATAAATTACTTAGTGCAGTTGTTTTGTAACTTTATGAATTTCATAGTAGTACAATATTGTTACTGAATGATGTTCTGCGCACGATCTACTGTCTATGACCTTATAAAAACGAGACACAGTACGCACTAACTTTAGCCACTGATTAGTACTAGGTCAACTTATGTTTTATCAAATATATAAGATACCTAACATGGGGACACCCTACCAGTATTCACTTCTTTTTTTCACTTCCGTTTTTATTAAATACCATATATGAGCTTACAAGGAAAAGCAGTCATATGTATAATTTATTTTTGTTTGCAATTATCAAAACTATACAAGTCATATAATAAATAAGTAAAACGATAGATTGGTGTGAGTAAAACTAAGCTTGTTCTCTGTACAAATTGTACAAAAAAACAAATATAATATTAAGAATACTACTATACACAAAATGGCGCGAGTGAGAAAAACAGATCATGTATTTCCAATTCTGTCATGATTTACAATTTCTGATAGCATAGGGGCATCAATATTCAAATCAAAAAATGATAGAAGTGCATAGTCAGCATGACGTAATTCATTTCCAGATAGTGTTGCGGAGCATATTTGTGGTGCATTCCACTTAAGCAAACGTTCCAAGCATTCAATTTCAGTGATAAGCGATTTAGTGTTTGACGCTCCACAAACCATTGCACAGACTTTAACAAGCCATTTAATACTTTGACTTGGATTACAACAATGTAAGCAAAGAGGTTTTTCTGTATCTGAATCTTCAATTTCAACGACAGAATCCACTCTTAGATCTAGAAATGAATATATACATAAGAGGTAACTAATAATAGGGTGAAATTTAACGCGGAAAAAAAGTGAAATCATTGGTTGAATTGGACAGCGTCCTCTCTTTACTGCAAACAATCTAATCAAATTCCTATCACGATACTTTTACTCTTAATACAATTCTTTGTGATCATAAATAAACCATTCTGATACATATAAGTTGAGCATTCTCCAGATAAACAAAAAAGTATGCAGGACACTACAGTTTTGTTGCAAATATTCTTCAAAATGACCTCTAGTTGCTTTCTAATCTAACAAGGTATTAAATTATCATTTTCGGAAATATGTGTATACGCTTGAATTAACGTGGAGTTGTCCCTCTTCAGATAATATGAATTCAGGCTTTTCTTTTCACAACAGTCGGAGGGTAATTGAATACAAGAATCACCGATATATTGAACAAAATAAATCCTCTAAACACACAAAATAATCGGTGAACAGTAGAAGACCTTACACTTCGATGTAGATGTTGTAAAGATAAATACATGTTGATATATATTTGAGATAAATGAATACATTATACAACGTTGTTTACAGAACTTACACTTGGTACAAATTATACCCGGAACCATGTAAATAGATGATTCATAGGATACACCTGTAAACAGCTCAAACAGAGGTTCTTATTTCCTGAGATCACTGATAAGATATGGTAATAATTAGGGTGGTTTACAAAAATTCCCAACTAATCAGAACTTTACAACTATAAGACACATTCACCACAGAGTGATACAGAAAGCCGACTGTACCGAATGCTTTAATGCTAACAACTGTGAGGCATTATACCAAGTTATTATTTAGTTGATGATGGCTGACTAGTAGTGGAATCCACGATGCGCGATGGATCCGTTACTGAATGTACCTCGATTTTTACTCTCAGTCACCATCAACCATCAGAGACATCGTCGAAGCACCCGTACTAGGAACCAACATGTCAACAGAGACTGAGCGTTTTACTCCATTACAAATCAACCGACGGGAAACACAAAATATTTAAAACAGTTAGTTCCCTTTATGAATTTAGATAAAGCAATAAGAAGACGTAATTTGTCTGAATCGTGTAATGTATTTGTGCAACACATTTCGAACAATCTGATCCATCACACACGGACTTGTCATGGAAATATATATGAAATTAATAAAGAGGTAAGAGGTGAGGAAATAGACTTAGGTCAAGTTAAAAGGACATATTCAAGGTCAAAATAAAAATGAAGACCACTAAACCAAATGGCTATGGTGTCAAAACAAAATTTACCAAGAAAGGTTTATTGTGATGACGAATTGATTTTGAACGCATAAAGGTGGTGGTTTAAACTTTCTAATTGCCAGTTAGGGCTTCCACAAACTTTAGGATACGCCCCAAACAAATTTTATAGATAGGTTTAAAAGATATGTTAACGTCAATTTTATGTCCTGTCTCTATAATATTTTTCTCCTGTTCTCACCATTAATGGGTTCTGAAGATTCTATTTGTTTCTGGAGCCGTTTAGGAATATGCTCTGAAGCTAGCGCTGAATTGCAGAGATCGATGAGTCTTCTCTATGTATGTATCCACACGTACATTCAAATTGGTAAATACAGTGGGATGTGATGTCATTTTTCGCATGTTCGAAGGGCTTAGATAGATATATTGGCTTTACATCCTCTATTATTATGATATTATCTGCATAAAAAGTCTTTTTAACAGCAGCGTTCAGTCTTTGTTTAGTTATCAAGCTGCTATGATACCCCATATAGGATAGCTTGATGTACACGTCTTTCTTAGGGGCGAGTTGGAGAGTGGGGCAAAATAACTAAAACATCTTAATAAGTTTCTATCTATTCGATTTTAGTGTTTCGGAGACACTGGCTAAGCAACCTATACTTAAATTCACTTGTATGCCATAATTTCGTCACTCCCGAGTGTTTCTCAACCTAATCAATCCACTTCTTGTCAATATCGTTGATAGACAAAAACAATGACTGGCTCTGCGTGAGTACGACATATGAAAGTGCATTTAACAATTTCACATTTTATTATGCAATAAACTTGACAAAGGCAAACTCCAGCACGTTAAACATACACAAATTGCCTTTTATGGTATTTTTTTAGAGGAATGTATACCGTCAGCTTCTTCACTTGGAATGAAAATATCATGTGTACCCCGTGGGTCGAAATGTCTCATTTATAGCCCATTTAGTTGACAAGATCTCGTGTTCAACCCAAATTGACCTCCATAAGGTCGTATAATAATTCTCGACTAGTTTATACCGAATTACTTGAGTATTTTCTTTAGAATACACAAAACAGAAAATAAAATGTATTTTAAAAAAAGGATGGGTAGATAATTTTTTTTATTTACAAAACTAGTTAAAGTCAGAAAGCAAAATCTTTTCAACTGAATAAAACATTTCTGTACGAAGCTTAAAAACCTTTATAGGTGTACACAAATGAAATATAATACGTATACTGTAAAACAGAAATTGCGTCGGTGGCATAACGGTTAGGACGCTCGCCGACCATGCACATGGTCTGGGGTTCGATCCCCGGCCGACGCACTCCTTTACGTCGTTAAGCCAGAAATAATGTTGGTAAAGAGGGAAGGTTGGGCATGAGGCTAGCAACCCCATCCTGTAAAAATAAGCACCACTGCTACAGAAATTCCAAGCTACTAGCTTGAAGCCCAATGTTCCACTGGGGAACGTGAAGGAAAAAAACAGAAATGAAGGCAAATTATATACATACATACATACATATATATACTTACCAGTTGAAGGATTTCTGTCATCTTCAGAATGAGACACTACACCACGATGATCTAATGCTTTAGATAAATTTTCATCATGTTTAGCAATGAAATCTTCAACTGGTTTTGGTAATACAAATGACATTCTGTTACGATTTTGCCATAGATGTTTATTTGAATAGTTAAAAGACCATTCTCCAGTACATATTGGAAAGTAATCAGATCGTACATCTATTAAATCTAACCACCATTCTCTTATAGTATGATTGTTAAATGTATAAGATTGACTAAATGTATTATAATTATTAGATGATATTGGAAAATATTCATTGATATTAATATTTTCATCATATAAATAATTTAATTGTGTCTTACGAAATGGACTAAGTAGACCATCCTGTTCATAACTTGAAAGTAAAATAGGTTTAGGAGATATAGATTGAGTGCTTTTAGCACTACTAGTGAATATAAAACTGTCATCAATCTTTTGATGACGCTCTTGTTTCTGGCGGTGATTATCAGTAGTAGTTGAAGTGGAATTTGTCGTCGTGTCATTTCCATAAAGATTACGCAATGGTTGTGATAATGACATTTTAACTGAAGCCTAGAGGTGAATAAAAGAATTATTCAGATTAATCAATTGGTAAAGGCTTTAAACTATAACAATATACTGATATAATACTTACTTTTCTTTCAGTGATGAAAGTTTACTACTTTTGCGAAAATTAACATGAATAGTAAACGGAAAAAGACGATGTTCAAGTATTGGTTTTCGTAGGGATTTTGTTTGACTGCTTGGAGGATTTCACCATGAGCTGAAATCAGTTGCAGAACCATTGGAAAACCTGGGAGTACTGGACAACTGTTTCGCCCTAATTTGGGACTCTTTAGCAGTACGCACCTGCCGCCTGGGTTTGAACCCGGAACCTTCTGGCTACAAGGCGAGCTCGTAGACCATTCAGTCACTATGTCATGAAATGGCAGGAGTTGGAATTCATGGGCCATTGGATCGGGTCCCAGTGGCTTAATGGTCTACGAGCTCGTCTTGTAGCCAGAAGGTTATGGGTTCGGACCTTGCCGAAGGATGAATACTGATGAAGAGTCCCAAACTAGGACGAAACAGTTGTCCAGTACTCCCAGGTTTTCCAATGGTTCTGTAACTGATGTCAGCTCATGATGAAATACACCAGCCAATAAAAAAGATGGTTGCAGCGGGGAGAGTTTTCGTTTAGACAAAGTCATCGATTAGGCTATAGATTCGTGAATATGTAACAAAGGGTTGAGAAAGTTCTAGAACTATTCCCGGTCGATGATCCAATTAAAACGTAATCAGTAGAAAAATAAACAAGAAGTTTTCATCAGAAATATAATCTGACAATAATTATTGAGGAAAATGACTATTTACGATTACCATGGAAAAGAAAAAGGTTGGGCATACTTCTTTTGGCTTGAATTTTTGGATCACCTATGCTCCAGATATACCAAAATGTCTTGATCTCCCTCCATTTGAGAGGTTTTTTTCGAAATCTAATATTAAATTTGAAGGATTTTTCAAGTGGAGTTAAGTGTCCTAAGTATACAAGATGTTCTGTTACCGAACTATAAATCACCTACACTAACTAAGCTTGATTATGTTCTCAAGCGTGTTTTGGAAGCGGACGCACAGTATGTCCAACTCCACAGTAACATGTGAACTGGTTTATGCATGTTGATGTTGCCCAATGAGACAGCTTACTTTTCACTTGCTAGCCGCATAGTTTCTTGCAAGGAAATATCACTTGTAGGCTGGCAGTGAAGTATGTTTTACAGAAAAATTTTGAGAACTGTTTTTGGAGAATTTTTGCCTCAGTATCACTCTGAAATTCGAGACTAGGCAGCAGAAGCTTTTTTGTTCAGCAGCTCTCTTTGATTTCAGGTTCGTATCTATGAATTTGTGTGGACAATCAGTTCCTATCAAAATTCTTTGAAAGCCTTTGTCAACAGATTCCTGAGTGCATATTTTTGTGATCATGGAGGAAAATAAATAAACTTTTCATTTCACATAGACTTTTTGTAAATAGGCATTCCTCAGCGAGTTATCCATATTTCTTCGCCGTTGAACACTGAGTCAGACTCAACTTTTAGAATGAAGTCAATGTTTGGGTGGGTATTATTGAAGGTTTGGAGTATGCTTCCGAGATCCGAATTCTCATTACAAATCATGAAAGCATCATCGACGTATCTCTTATAGAGATGAAACCCACTGATTATTGATGACAAGATATTATTTTCCATGTTAGCTATAAAACAGTCGACCAAGATGAGAACACATTGCTGCTCCATCTAATAGCCACAAGATTTCATTCTAGAATCTTAAGTAAACGCTGAAAGTACATAGGAATAACAGATCGTTTAGATAATGAACCGATAAGCCGAAATCACTGTTATTGGATTGAGTGAAGTCACACAAAAAACAGATAGTTTCTGTCGGTGAAGAGAGAGACGACATCTAAGGAGACCACTATATTATCTGAAAGATTTACATTCTTAATTGAATCGACAAGATCAAATATATCCAAACGATTGTATTTCGACAGCTTTTCCTTCATCGATCCAAGAATCCCTATCAGCTGACTGACATGGAGAATTTATCATATCGAGTATTGGGCAGTGTGGGACGTCTTTTCTTTGCACCTTGGGTAAGCAGTACTTGCGCAGTGTTGTAGAACCAGAAGGACAAAGTAGTTCATATAGCTATGCGCTAGTAAAATGGTTCATCATTCATATTCAATATCTTTATCAGTTGTAGCTCCATTTGTTCAGTGGGATCCTTTTGAAAAGTGTGTTTTAGAAATTTCTTGTAATTAGGATACAATCAGGGAAAATTTATCAAGACAATCCCAATTGTTCAATAGATATACTCTGGAGAAAAACTCCAACAGCTAGATTTTTCATTAATATGTAATCGAGACAAAAATTTCAAATAGTTTCTTTGCTTTGAAATAGTCTCTTTCGTCACATGAGACTGAAATCAGATCATTTGCCTGATTAATTAGATTACTGAACTGGACTTTCATTTTTGCAGCAGATTAACTTTTGATGTTACGTCACAAAATTTTAGTCCAAGTGCTAGATGCATTTGCAGTTGAATTGGTGTTCGGGAGACATTAGAATAATTAAACAGGTATTTTTTAGGACAAGAAGGAAAAAGTGCTTCCTTAACGACAAGCTTTTAACTTTTATTTAGCTTCATAATGACACCATCAGTTCTCCTCGTTGTAACTGTAGCAGCAGAGTTTTAGAATAAAGTTCGTTCATTAGCTGATAGTTCATAAACGACTTTCGAGTTTCCTAAGATATTCTGTTCGAGTTCAGATAATCTAGATTAGATGGTATCAAGGTGATTGAGAAAATGACATTTTAGTGTATGTGAATTAAGAGATACATTATTTCACCTGACATTCTCCCAAAATATCTTCGAATATTCATGCTTCTCTAGGCAATTCCTCCAGAAGTAAATATTTTCATTCGTATCAGTAAGTCTGACTTACAATTGTAGAAACACTTTCAGTTCCTTTGCCATCGCACAGTCTTTTCTATTAATTAAGTTATGGGATAAACCCACTAGAGCATAGGGAAAAAATGTCGTCGCAGAGAAGACAATTTTCGTTTAGGAAAAGTCATCAGCTAGGCTGTACACTCATGAATACATAACAAAGAGTTGAGAAAGTTCTAGAACTATTTTCGGTCGAAGATCAAATTGTAACGAATAACAAGATCAAAATTATATAATCTAAACAAGGATTATGTATACATGCGTCTGGACAAACTGAAAGTACACTTTTGCTCAAAACTACAGCAGTTCAAAATGCCGCACTTCATAAAAGTACACATAAACGTTGGCAAAAGAAATGTCAAGAAACTCCAATAAACGGAGAATCCTTGAAAAAAGAACAATTACATAGACGATGATGACGATTCAACGTATCTAAGCCATCAATAAGCTCAACAGAAACAGAGCATTTCAGTTCAGTTAGCACTTTAGAAATCCTTTATATTTACTCAACAGAATGAAACAAAATAACAGTATCGGAAAACTATGATATGAGCAGAACCAAACAAAACAAATAACTTACATTAGCTACTTTGATCTTTTTCACACCTATCTCACCCCAACCAACATCTTGACCAATTTTGAATTCTGCTAAACCTAATAAATCTGATGCTTTTTCTATATTGAGCAATTCATTGCCTCGTCTAGCAGTCATAATTAACGGTTGATTAGTATCTCGAACTTTTTCATTACTATACGACATTCGTTCACTTTTCGATAGAGTTGTATTAATTTTATGAGATGGATAAAATCTTGAATCAATATACTGCATCCATGCTAGCCAAACAAATGGTCGATCATACAGTGAAACACTACCGGTTTGAGCACTTTCCACAGGACGATCTGGAAATGATTCTAAAGCTCTAGCCACAGAACTAAGTTGATACTTATAAGTTATGTAGAAAAAAACAAAAATAAATTAAACAAAATAAGTAATCACAATTTCAGATTAAGGTTTTTATACCATACACATAAAAAAGGTGTTTTACAAGTAATGAATGAACTAAATATGCTTATATTCTTTGAGCCCTACTCATAATTGTCAAAACAAGTTTCAATGTTAGTCATGAGATATGCCCTAGTAAACTCTAGAAGTTTTCACAAAATACAAACAAGTAACAAATAGGTCTGAATGATTTATTTATAAGACAAATCTGTATCGAATAGAGTAAATTACAAATCTCTTAGAATTTCCTCTATTTGAAACGATGGGTACTGAGTTTGAGTCTAATTGAGAACATCATTACTCAATGAAGGTACAATTATACACAGTTGACGAGTTCCAGACACGGAGAAACGCGCCTCCTGGATTCCACTGTTAGCCACCATTGATAAGACAAGTAACATTAGACTTTATATCAGTTAGGAAATTAGAAGAAAATGGGAATCTATGCAACGTATGCAGACGTTTGGCAATATTATCAGTCACTAATCAGTTAACCAATTTTTTTCCTCCACGTTCCCCAGTGGGACATAGGGCTTCAAGCCAGTGGCTTGAAGTTTCTGTAGCAGTGTTTATTTTACAGGATGGGGTTGCTAGCCTCATGCCCAACCTTTCCTCTTCACCAGCATTATTTCTGGTTTAGCGAGTTAAAGGAGTGCGTCGACCGGGGATCGAATCCCGGACCATGTGCATGGTCGGCGAGCGTCCTAACCGCTATGCCACCGACGCCCTGCATATAAGGGTGAACAACAGTATACTCAGAAATCTGGCAAACGTATTATTTAGTGCTGCCTTATATTACCACAAGCTACAATTATATGATCTATAAAACACAAAATGATTGAGCAAAGAATATCCTTTTCGATAAATTCCTCTTCCAGGCTCTACAATTATATATATGTTTATATACATTAAATATTCTAGATTAGTAGTCAATATCAATATTAGTGTTTTTTTAAATAATATCGATTTGTAAAGTAAGATCAATGCAATTACAGTTCATTAAAGATGCTTAAATAATAATAATAATAAAGATATAGTAGCAAATAGAATATCAACTAAAATTAGGAAAATTCCACAAAAATCCAGGATCATTCAAACCTAGATGGGCAAGGTGAGGATAATGTCTGAACTAACTTCTTTTGGATGCACAAATTAGGCTTGTTAATATGGATCCCAACAGCCTCAGCAATATTTAGTAGTCTGAATGTGAATTATACGATCATTGACTACATTCTACAGAATCCACTATTTTATTCTTCATTTCAGATTTGGGGATAATAATAATTTCTCTTTTTATTATCTTTTCTAATAGAGTATATTTTCAGTAATTATTTTAAAAAAACGTAGGTAATTTTTCATACGCACAAGCAGTAATGCTTTTCGCCTATAAGTATTGGAAGGGGGACAATATACGATGAATTTTAATCGTGTTCTAAGCAATATGGCGGCGTATTTGTTTTCGTGTAATTTATAAAGTGAAATAATTGTTTCGCTTATAGTCTTGAATGGTAGTGAAGTTATTAATATTTCAATAGACAATTATTATTATTATTACCATCAGAGTTTACAATGTATGATTAAGATAATAAGATATTTTGTATTTAACTAATTAACAGAATAGTTTCCGTAAAAACAAAACACTATAAAATAATTAAATATTCAGTTTTAATCAATAAGAAGAGACTAAAAGATACTTGCACCCCAGTGAAGATCTTATTGCATACATGTGTAACATTGGCTTACGCACTCTACTTTCAACAAAAGCGTCCCGAGTTCGAATTCCATCTCCAGCTACTGACTACCATCAACTGCTGGAGGGGGGGGTAACGAAGTAGTATCATCAGCCTTCAAAAAAGACCTAGTCTCGAAGTCTGGTACTGAGTTTCTAACGAACTAACTGAAAATCTTCATAAGGTATTATAGCCGTCAATGGAGTATCACGCATGATGTCAGCTGAAGACTTTGATCTTTTCATATCTGTTAATGGTATGAAAATCTACTTCTTGCCTACAATAATACTCACATACCATACCATACGATGTTAGTTGTAAAAAAGTATGCGTGAATATATCAATAATTGAAATGAATAAAAGCAAAATGAATTATAATTTTCTAATTAGCTATTAAATGTACAAGTGGATTGGTAGTTCACTGGTAGAATGCTTAGCAGCCATGTATGTAGTTCAGATTCTATTGCCGGCCGGTGTATTTTTAAATCTCGCTAGGCCAGAAGCAAGCCTGATACAAAGGAGGCTTAGGACGTGAGACTAGTGCGACCTTATCCCATAAAATAAAGAACAAAAACACCACCGCTACTGAAACGTTAAAGCTTAAGCTTGGAGGTCTATGCTTCACTTTGAACGCGAAGGAATGGAGAAAAAACAGTCATATATAATATATATATATATATATATATATATATATATACGAGTTTGACCACGCAGTGATATCAGTTAGAGAACCATCGAAAACCAGGGAGTACTGGATAGCTGTTTCATCCTAGTTTGGGAATCATCGTCACTATGCACAGGACGGAGTTTCCTGGAGTTCTAGTGAGAAGTCGTGACCAGTAAGGTCCAACCAGTCAAGTGTGAGGATGGATTTCCCATCGATGACAGTGATTGGTGGTCTCACTAAATGTATCATGAATTGTTAGAAGTTAGAATTCATGCACTGGTCATTGAATCGGGTCCCAGTGGCTGAATGGTATACGAGCTTGCCTTGTAACCAGAAGGTTCTGGGTTCGAACCCTGAAGGTGGATACGTACTGATGAAGAGTCCCGAACTGGGATAAAACAGCTATCCAGTACTCCATGCTGGTTTTTAATAGTTCTCTAACTGATATCAATCTGTGGTCAAACTCGTATAAACAAATCTAATCCTTACAAACCAACTCTTCAAAAACATATATGTATATATATGTCCTATGATAAATAAGGCGCTGGTTGCACAGAGGTAGAATGCTCGTCAACCACGCTTCATGTGATCCGAGGTTCTATCCCTGCCCGACTCACCCCAGTACTTCCTTAAGCTAGTAATGAGACTAGTAAAGAGGGAAGGTTGGGCATGAGGCTAGCAACCCCATCCAATAAAAATAAACACCACTGCTACCGAAACTCCAAGCCTCTAGCTTGAAGTCCTATGTTCTACTGGGAACGTAAAGGAATAGAAAAAAAAGATAAATAAATACCTAAATAAGAAATTAGCTTTAAAAGGTAACTTACTTCAAAAGTATCATTGAATTTGAATACAAGACGCAATAATATAACAACGAATGCCATTGCAAATACTTCTGGACGAACAACTCGAGGCCATTGGATAAAATGTAATAAAGGACGTTGTACTAACTCATTTATAGCAATACATTGTTTATGTAATCTTTCTAATAAAGGTTTTACAAATACATGCATAATTTCTGGAAGACCTAAAGCAACTATATGACGATGTACAAGCCAAATCAATGGATATCTAGTGTTAAATAACAAAAAAGACACTATAACAACAACAACAATGACAACAAAAACTATTGCGAATTTTAATTAGACATATATCAGCTAAATAATTTTCAGGACAAATTTTCTAATGCAACTAAGTGAAAAGTTTGAAGGACTTTTCGAAAGGCGCTGGATGTCCTGAGTTGACCAGATGTTCTGTCACCGAACTGTATGCACGTTTTTGGTCTCCTTTTTACGAGCCAGGCTTCATCCAATGCAACAGCATAGATGTCGGCATACCGATCCACTATCTAAAGGAGCTGTTACTACGTTGCACCTTCAACGTTTACTTCAGATTCAACAGTGAAATCTACAGGCAAACAGATAGCGTAGCAATGGGCTCTCCATTCGGACCACTCCTAGCCGACTGTTTTATGGCCAGCCTCGAAAACAACCCCTTATCATCATCTCTACAAGAGATACATCGATGATACTTTCATCATTTGTGATGAGAAGCTGGACCTTGAAAACTTACTTCAAATCTTCAACAACGCCCACCCAAACATCGACTTTACTCTTGAGACTGAATCCGACGGAATGTTCCACTTCCTGGACGGCCATCTGACAAGAAACGACAACAACTCTTTGAAAAGGTTCATATACACAAAGCATACATGGAATGGACAATTCATCAACTTTCAAAGCTTCGTGCCACTAAGCAGAAAGAGGAACCTGATATACGCTCTTTCCTCGAGGATTCAGAAGATATGCAGCGAGGAAGTGATTGAAGAAGAACTGCGTAATCTCCGAAAAACCCTGATGGAAAACGGTTTCCCGCCCAGGTTCATAGACAAGAATCTCAAATCGAAGAAGACTTCCGAACAAGTCCAATCCGTTCCAAAGAAAATACTTCTGCTTAATCTAGAATTCAAAGGTGATATTGAAGCAGAAATCCTCCGCAAACGCCTCTCCAAATCGCTGAAGAAAACATATTTCGCCGCGAGCCTACGACTGACGTTTTCCTGCAAGAAACTGTTCAACCAGAACGCGAAAGACAAGCTGTCGCATTGGGCCACCTCAACGTGCATATACCAGTTTACTTGCTCTTGTGGAGCTGAGTTTATCGGCCGTACCATGCGTCGACTTGAAAAACGCGCTCGCGAACACTACCCAGCCTGGCTCGGAAAAGGAAACCAAAAACGTGCATACAGTTCGGTGACAGAACATCTGACCAACTCAGGACATCCAACGCCTTTCGAAAAGTCCTTCAAAGTAATATATAAGATTCAATCAAACCTATCAAAATAAGTGAAAAGTAATATTGGCTAAGAATAGTACTTATAGCATTGGACATAAACACTAGTGGAATGATTGCTGACTACATGTTAGTGTAGATACAAAAAGCTTACTCAACGCTTACCACCAACTCGAGTCATCTTCGGTACCGGTGTCACATCAAGCTTTCGACTAAAATGCGTACAAACTTCGCGATAGTAATTTGCTTTGTCATAGGGTATGAAAAAGTCACAAGTGCATATGGTCCAATTAGTTGTATGAGATAGAGTAACGTGGTAAGCGATGTTAAAATTAAGTGTAAAGTAAGCAAGCTAAGTTGACAAGTCAAGGGTCATGACTCTTTATCGAATGAAGTACTTTGGATATGTCTGACGCCTTTGATTTCATCGAATAACATCTAAAGATGACATAGGATTGAGTTGGAGTAGAGTTAGGGGTGGTCAGATCAAAATATGGCATTAGTTCACTAAGTTATCAACTGTTAATCGACGATATGCAGCTCTTTGGAAGTGTGACAACTTGAAGTGATACACTTCTGTGTAATGTTTTACATTAACCCGTCAATCAGTTTCGTTGGGTGCAGTACCCACTTTATTCTAATCAAAACTAGTGATTGGCAGGTAATATAGTGAAAAACGAGAATACTGAACATGTATATAGAACAATCCTCATGAAAAGATGAGATATTAACATATCAAATAACTGCAGATGACTTATCAAACAATGAACAAACAATTACAGATTCGAAATATATTTGATCACTATCGTAACAGCTTTAAGGCCTACTTGTCACACTAAGCTATAATAACACCTTATCACCTTATTACATTACATGGGAAGAAAATCCAACGCTTGCTTAAATACTGTTGTGCAGACCCTAATTAAAGTATGCGCCTAAAAAGCTTGTTTCAATATTAAGGGAATGTATTACATAAAATCACCCTTTTGATTACAACCAGAAGAGAACAGGAAAAACCAGGTGAATACAAGCATATTTCTGAAACATACTGTGAAAAATTCAAGTATAATTATGAACTGAAAAAAATATATATATATGTATATTTTTATTTTGATTATAGCTTGATTCCACACCGTATTTTTGGTACAAGTATGGAATTTTCAGCATGTGATATCAGTAGCCCAAATTTTGCAGGCTGACCAATTAATATCAGGTGTGCGTCGGCAGGAGATCGAACCCCGGACCATTCGCATGGTCGGCGAGATTCCTAACCGCTGTGCCACCGACGCACAAATAAAGGGAGGACTGTGAGGCATCCCCACTGACAAAAACTACACGCCCAAGCGCACCCGATGATTAGGTTCCGTTGCGAGTTTCAACCCACCGAGGTGCAATGGTGAGCCTCCACCCGGGGTCAGAGCATTCTTGATCACCCTGAACCCGGCGCCAGATAATATATATATATATATATAAATAACTTACTTTGGAAAGTGATTTAAGCCAAGAAAATCACGCATTCTCACAGTTGCATATGTTAAAACTTCAATTTCTGGATGTCGAAGTCGTCTAATCATGTTTCGTAAACATTGATCACGTATACAAAAAGCACCCGGAGGGAAAAGCTGTTCAGCCTATATTTTTTTTTAAAAGGGGGAAAAATTAGTTAAAGTAAATGTGATAATAGCCAAATTATAAAAAAGCAGATAAACTGTATGCAGTTGTTTGCTTAGTATACAATAGAGAACTTTAATTTATTTATTGAGAAAGCATACTTTTTTTTTAAAAAAAATGTCTTTTGTATAAAAGTGAAACTTCTGCGTGAGTATAAATAGATATAACAGTAAAATAGTAACATTTAAAGACACAAGTTACTGCTCAAAATCAAATTAACATCTGCTTTGATCTGGTTAGCCCAATCAAAATACAGAAAAGTGTAAGTGCTGAACAGGTTATTCATTCGCTTTTATTACATATTCCAATGTTTAGTAGAATATATTTCAAATACTCTTAACATGCTAATTATAAAAGTGATGGAATCATGACATCGATCTACATAAAAAACCATTAGTCAGCATTAATCAATACTTACTGCCTCATTTAGGAATAAACAGAGTTTAGATGTGACTTATAAGCAAACTATTGCTAAAATATTTTACAAAGTACTGCATTGAGTTAGGACTCAGTAACCCAGAACAGATTTTTTATGTATCAGACTATGAGTCACACTTATTGTATTATGGCCTAAAGATACTACTACCTAGTTGCTCGAAATGTGAAGTAGGTGAGGCAGGATTCGAACCCCAAATCTACTGACGGAAGGTTGAGTGTTTAAGTCATTCGGTCACACCTTCACATTTGCATTTAAGAAGTCGGTTGGGATGTTCTGCATAGAAACTATCATTCACGATAAAAGATAGAACCATAATAATACAATACAACTTGATAACTTGTGTTAAAAACAATATTAGGAGACTTTGAGCAGTTACTGTGGTAATAATGTTTGGAATTTTATTTGATGCAGAGAGTGACTATAACATATACTGCGCATGCTAAGCCGAGGAATTTCTCGACAACTAATGTCAGATGGGTAAGCATTAGGATGAAAATGAGCTAGAGCTCAATATGAAACAAACCAGCGGAATCATTTAAGTGTTTGTGATCATTATGTAACTAACAGGGATTTCACATGAAATACATCATCACGTGATATCAGACTATGGACCAAAGGTCGGGTGTACTGCTCATCAGTCCGCTCCGTCCTCCTTTATCACTGTGAGTGAGACATGGTCATTGAGACATGAAAAGATTAGCTGCCTTTGATCATAGGTGTCTGTGTTCTATCTCCCGTGTGAAGCGGTATAATAAGGTGAGCGATTTTGAGGTTAGACGTCGAGTGCTAGGTAAGGAGGGGAAATCAATCGACGAGGCTGTGAAATTACATCGACTGAGATGGTTAGGACACAAGTTACGTCTGTCTAGTCATCGCCTTCCTCGACGGGCAATGTTAGCTGATATAGGGTCAGCCTGGAAAAGAGCTAGCGGCGGTCAAACGAAAACATGGCACCAGTCAATGAAATCTACAACAGTTGGTCTAAGCCACCTAGGAAGGTGTAGACTTCCTGACAGGTTGGGGTCCTCGGGACAGTAAAAACCAATGGTTGGAAACAATCGGTGACATGGCTCAAAATCGTTCTCAGTGGCGCAGATGCATCCACTCCTTGTGACTTATGATTCCCAATGAAACTGTTTTGTTCTTTGTTAATACTATACCTTTGTCTCACACCTCTTTTTACTGTCTATATTATGCATTTCTCCTACCTTCTTCTCTTGCTTTGTGTGCCACATGGAGTGTGGCGACTTGAACTGCCGCACATATGTGCAAAGTTCTATGTCGAAAACAGACAGACGTCATCACGCGGCCTGTATCGAATTCGAATCTTTTTAACATAGAAGGTACAAATGTTTAAAGAAAATAACATTCAACAATTGGTGACCATCAAATGAATTCCATGAATATTAGAGTTTTAAAAATAAATCATTCATAAGTATTGAGCTTAAGTCAACAATTTATTATAATTTATTTATTTCTAAAGATCCAAACAAAATACAAAAAGTGTGCATATATTAAACAATCTAAGAATAATATATAAGTTGAATATAATTTGAGTATTATATGTTATCACTTACAGCTATAAAGGGCAAGCGGCGACTAACACACAAGTCTAGTAAATCTTTTAAAGTAATCATTGTACTAAGTGCATACGGGACATTTGGAAAGCCAGGATTTATAAAGCTTGATGAAAACAATGGGTTGAATGCTTTTCGTATAGGACTTGTAGTTAAACAAGCAAAAAACAAAACAGATATATTATGCTCTAGTAATCCTCGACAGGTAATACCGCCTTCCATTTGACCACGCCAAAATAAATTACTCATATCTGGTAAACGACACCTGAAAATTAACAAGAAATATAAGTGTTTTTTTTTGTAATGAATTCAATACTAATTAAAAACAATTAAACTCCGTAAGTATTTACAAATATTGATTCATGTCTACACTATAAGTTGGTAAACGCTGTAATAAAAAAGAATTTACCATTGGATAGGGTCCCAGTGGCTTAATGGTCTACAAGATCGCCTTGTAACCAGAAGGTTCTGGGTTCGAACCCCTGTGGTGGGTGTGTACTTATGAAGAGTCCAAAAACTAGGACGAAACAGCTGTTCAGTACTCCCAGGTTCTCCAGTGGTTCTCTAATTGATGTCAGCTCATGATGAAATCCTCCAACAAATCAAAGAATTTACCCTTTAAGTGAAGAACACTTAGCCACATGTCCAAATGTGAATCATTAAAAAGTGTAGAGTACAACACTACCATGAATAAGATGGAACGGAAAGTGAATTACATGATACAATTACATTATTATTTAGATAATCTAGAGCACTCGATTCAACACAGTGGTCTTCAAAACAAACAAAAAACCACAAGACAAACAAAACCACATTTAAGAATATTTTTATCCAAAAAATTACAGGTGAAGAAAAATTGATGCACTGAAGACCTGAATGAGTAAACTTTCCAATTGAATAAAATATCCAACTGAGAATGTGTACCACAAAAAAGTGATGCACGGAAATAAAACTTCCTCCTATTCAGCCTATAAATTATTGTTATTATTATCGCTATTATTACTATTATTATTGTTACTACTATTATTAAAAGGAGATCTGATGGTTCTCTTCAGAGATCGATCTACAGGAAACCAACTTGGAATGGTCAATACGCGAATTTCCAGAGTTGGGTCCCTTTGAGAAGAAAGAGAAACCTGATTAACTCCTTATCCTCAAGAATAAGCAGGATATGTTCCAGTGCTACAATCGACGGGGGAACTGGAGCGACTCAGACAAGTTCTCATAAAGAATGGATATCCTATAAGATTCATCGAGAAAAACATGAAGTTAAAGCAAAAGCCTGAGGGAACCCAGACGGTGCTGAAGAAACTGCTATTTATGAAAGTTGAATTTAGAGGTGATACCACAGCTGAGATCTTCAAGAATAGCTTACGCAGATCACTGAGGAAAGCCTTCTTTATGGCTGAGCTACGTATCAATTTCTACAGGCGATAAATGATCAATGAACATGTGAAGGATAAACTACCGCTTTGGGTCACTTCAATTTGTGTTTATAAATTCACCTGCTCTTGTGGAGCTGGTTATATTGGCCGCGAAAAGCACACACTTTCCAAACGCATCTCTGAACATTATCCGGCATGGTTAGAAAAAGGACAATGCAAGGAAACTACTAACGTAACTACACCAGAGTTATCTTTCAAGATCATCTACAAGGTGAGGCCAAATGGTACGAAGGGCGTCAGGTTTGGGCATTTGTGTATGGCGGAGGCGTTGGTAATTCGTCAATACGACCCCGAACTCTATATACAGAAAAAGTTTGTCCAGTCTCTTATTCTACCTTGGTCTTAATCTCTTCACAAGTCATTCCTTGTAAAAAAAATTTTATTTTCAATTTTCAATTTTACTTTTAGTTTCTTTTACTTTAATAATTAATTCACTATTATCACTCTCATATGTTCCTTTTCTCACCCTCTTCACACTTAGACACTCAACTGCCTTTATTCTTACTCAATAGCAATTTTAATATTATAAAATTTCTAACCCTTTCTTCCTTTCTGACGTTGAGTACTACGTAATTTACAACTTCAATTTTTTACTTCTAAAGTCACTTCTGAGTAATTCTATCAATTATGTCACCCCATTACATCGGTGGCACAGCGGTTAGGACTCTCGCCGACCATGCACATGGTAAGGAGTTTGATCCCCTGCCGACGCATACCTGATATCAATGGTCGACCTGAAAAATTTGGGCTACCGATATCACATGCTGTACCAAAAATACGGTGTGGAATCAAGCTATAATAAAAAAAATGAACAATAATAGGCTACTATACATTTTTGGCAAATATAAATACGAATGTATAGCTTCTGAAGATGACTTCGTCGATAAAGAAAATTTTCTTCACTAAATTATTGTTTATTTAAAACATACTTAGTACAATATGGGTATGAAGAGATGCACCACACGAAATAATAAAGCAAGAGAGGAAATACGATAGTTGTTGGACAACAGAATGGAAATAGATAAGCACACTCAATAAAAAGCATTCAAAGGAGTGCTTATCACTTCAGATTACTTTCAGAAAGAGACAGAAAAAAAAGGGGGAAAGTGAAGTATGTTTCTCACTTATTTCCATTCTCAGCCATATCTGATAATGGATGTCTTGAGCCTCATCAAAAGAGTCGTAATGCCTAAACAGATGATAATCCACCACAAGCCGTCAAGAAAATCTCTAGAATGATGTATAAAAGCTCTAAATCAAGCTACTCACAACATACATCACGACTGAACAACTTGGTTGCTATAAGATCCAAGTATTTGATAATTAATTCATGACAAGACCAGTGATATTCAAGTGTTGGTTTGTAGGGATTTGATTGGTTTCAGGATTTTCATCATGAGCTGACAGTGGTTAGAGAACCATTGGAAAACCAGCTGGGAGTACTGGATAGCTGTTTCGTCCTAGTTTGGGACTCTTCACAGTACGCATCCACCGGGATTCGAACCCAGGACCTTCTGGTTACAAGGCTAGCGAGCTCGTATACCATTAAGCCACTGGGACCCTATCCAATGGCCAGTGCATGAATTCTAACCTCTGCCAATTCACGACATAGCGCGACTGCTAGCCAATGTCTTCGGCGAGTATTTGTCCTCACACCCGACCTTCTGCACCCTACTGGTCACGACTTCTCAATGGTTTTCCAATGGTTTTCTAACTAATGTCAGCTCATGATGAAAATCCTGAAACAAGATCAGTGAATTGAAGATTTTTAATAAGCTTTAAAGTGCTATCCATCTTATTTGAGAGTCGAAGTACATCAGCTAGTGAAATTGTGTTTATCAATTAAATTTGGTATGAGCATTGAAGAAACTCTACGGAGATTTAGATTTAGATTAAAATAAAATTTTCAACAGATATTAACTTGACATTAAAACCATTATTATTATTATTATTATTCCCTACAGTTCCCAGTGGAACACAGGGTTTCAGCAACACATCCTTTTCATCCTGTTATCTGTCATCCTTGTCAGTTTACTCCACAATTGCTCAAAAGACTTCATCTCCTCCTCACATAAACTCGTCTATGTCACTTTCAGCCCCACATCCAAATGGTCATTTCCCATTTCGGGTTCCATTCTAGAGCCCAGTGCCTGATGTCACTCAACGGTCTGCTCAGTGCATGTTCAACGCATCTCACACTTTCTTCTGCATATTTATCAGGAGATAGCTTTTTGGTTGGCTCACTGTCAGAGTTCCTTGTTGCTAATCCTTTCTAGTCATCCATCGAGATCTTCAGTATGGAGCGAAGGCAGCTGTTAATGAGAGTCTCAGTTGCCTCTTGGAAATTCTTTCCGTGACGCCTGAACCATATCATACAAAAACTGACCGACTTAATATCGGTGTTGAAAATCCGAATCTTGTTCTTTATGCTAATTGCAGTAGATTTCCACACTAATTTCAGATTAATGAAAGTTTTCCTTACCTACTTACTATCTTGATAATATTGAATGCAAAATTAAAATTCTAACCACAAAAAAAAACAATAACAACAACAAATAAACTTACAATTTTTTGGTAAAATATGGTGCTAATACATCCCGAGTATACTTTTCATAACTGATGATGGGGAAAACACCGGAATCTGTAGTCTTAACTGGACTAGAAACATTTTTTTCATTAGAATCTTCTAACCCCTTACGACTTCTGGACTTTCTGCGTGGCGTAAAACTGCGATCTTCGACATTGTCTTCATCAGAAAAATAGTAGGTTTCATCTGAACTAGAATCACTATCTGATTTGTGTTTACGTTTACGTTGTCTGGTTAACTTTGCATTTTCACGAGCTAATTTTTTACTTCTGAGTGGTCAAAAAAAGGGATAAATAGAAAATACTGAGAAATTGTATCCACAATTATAATAAAAGGGTGTGTGTGTGTGTGTGTGAAGATCCCCACTACGATAGACAGACATTAACGACTAAATACCTCATTCATGGACAATGTTTATGAAACAGATATGATAAAAAAAGGAAGAATTCTACCTCAAGATGGAAATGATAACTGTTCAGGCTTCAAATTTTATATAGTATAATCATCACTATGATGAGTGAGCACACGGCTTTCTTATTTTAAGTAAAATATGCACAAGGATTTCATTAAATATTACGTGACGAATTCACTACCACCCCTCTCAGAATAATGCACTCCAGTATGAATAACATTTGACATGACACTAATCAAACAGAGGATAAAATTATTACTATTATAATCAAAATTAATTTTTTTTTTACACAACAACATGTGTTCAGGGTTTAAAACAAATGAAAGTCAGAACAAGTAATTACAAACACAGAAGCAGTGTACTGGTTATTAGTTTGAGCCATGTGGGTAGGTGTATATGTTATCTAGAACAGGCTGAAAGTAATTTAAGAAGGCATTAATCCTCAGCTTCTTCACTGATGCTAACTTATTTAAGCATCCTCTCTATCAAGCACATGTCTTTTATAATAGCATTGTAACAACAAAAGACAAGGGCCAGGCAACAGATCGTTTATTTAGGAAATCAACAGATATTTATAGATTCTCATGTACATTATTATAGATTATTGTAAGCAAACAAACACAGTCTCCTGATTGGTGCTTTCTCGCTGAACGTTAGTCTTTCATCTCTTTGTGGCCGTTTATTGAATGAAGTTCAGATTATCTATCTGCAAATTGTATCCGCCTACGCAAAGCCTGCTGTGATTGAAGGTTGAAACAGCCTTTGTTCTTATTTTTCTCACGACCAATATTGGGGACGTAAACATTGACGTAAATTACTACCTACCAATTAGGCTAGCAACCAGCTCTCATCACAGTATTACTAAGCTTCAGCGCTGCTATTTTATGCGTTGTGTTTCTAAATGTAACATCTTGAACTGATGCCTTTTTATGCAAAGTTCTACCTTGATTCATCATTCAATTATGAATACCTGTAATTTCGATTCTTATTCATGTACTTGTAAATTTAGAAAGTACAAAGAAATTTAATGAAGACCCTCAGCCACAGAGTTAGAGCTATATGCTCAGAAGAAGTAATTGAAGATGAATTAAGCATTGTATATGTTACTTTGATCGAAAATGGTTATCCCGACAAATTTATCAAGAAACATATGACAAAGAAGGCGGAAAAGGACTACTCATTATCTGTAAACAAGAAGCCACTTTATATACGACTACAATTCATGGGCGATATACCAAGTGAGATAAGTACGAGGGAATTAAGAAAATCAGTTCAAATAACTTTTAATGCTGGTGAACTACACGTATTATTCTCCACACGACCGATGGTGCTACCTCGACTGAAAGATGAAGTACCTAGACTTGCCACTTCAAATTGTATCTACCATCTCAACTGCGCTTGTGGGGCAAGTTATATTGGTCGTCGCTCTAGGAACTTGATTTTTTGTGCTCAAGAACATATCCCACAATGGGTAAATAAAGGTGTAGTGAAAACCATTAACAGTTCGATATTGGACTATCTGGTGCAAACCGGCCACAAAGCCAGTGTGGAAGAATCCTTCTCTATAATATACCGGGTGCCTAATAAATTACCAAAATCGTCGAAGCACCGCATGCTCCAAACAGCAAAGGCTATTGTAATTCGCCTCAAACAACCAGTGCTCTGTGTTCAAAAGAAGCAAGTCCAGCCCCTACTACTGCCCTGGCCTTCAGTAGAGACTATAAATTCATGAAGTTGTAATATTATCTTTCCTAATTTTTCTGACATTTAGCTTATTTTATGTTGATGGTGTTCAGTTGTAATCTATCAATATTATTGATTCGATGTTATTTAAACATTAATGTCGTTCATAACACTAATTCATTCATTCACTATAACTGTAGAGCCTGATGATGAAGTTATCGAAAAGAGTACTCTTTGTTCAGTATCCATTCTTTTGAAAATTTAGAAAACTTTAAATGTCAAGGTCTCTATGGAAGTTTGTTATTTAGATAGAAAAACAGATCGACATATTTGTGGTTAGTGGAATACAACTTTTTGAAATCAGCCTGAATTAAAATTCATGCACAGATTGATTCATCATCTATGATTAATAATTGATTTATGAGGATGAATGACACTATCGTTCGACTGTCTAAACCTCTTGTGAAAAAAGCAGACTAATGAACAAGTGCACATCAATGAACCATACTCAATACGATCACTTTTAATACCACGCTAATACCCGTATCCTATTTAAATAACGTCCCCTTTCTCCTTAATAACTTGAAATAATACACCTTTGCCTGAAATTAAACCTTTAGCAGTCTGTGTACTAGTAGTGACTACTTAAATCAACCTTTAAGTACCATGTTGACACAGAGCAGACAATATTGTAACCCACTAGTTTTGGCACTTAACTTTTAGCTAGCAGGTACAGAACTGGAGTTCTGCTCCACGTAAATCAGTCTGATTGATTGTGTCGTATCATCCGCTTATACACAATAAGTTAGCAAATGAAAAATCCTTCCCAGTGATACTAAGTTAAAACTATAACCAGGCAATTCAGATGGCATGAGAATTGTACACCTAATTTGCAATACAGCAAATAAAAATCTTTGATCAAAGGCTTAAACACAGATTTATGGTGAACAGGTAAACGTGAATGTTGTTTCCTAGTTGCCAGGTTTCATACTTTTACCATTTTTAGTAATGAGTAACATGGATCATCTTAACTATTGTTCTCCTCAAGAGAATGACAATTTTGAGTTCTTTTTGTGTGGCACGATGAGAAAGATTGGCACTATTTGGAGATAGGATCCGACAATAATACCATTCGTGTGTATATATGTATATTGTAGTTAATCTACTCTGCAGTATATCCGCAAATATTTCCCAATATACAAAGCAGGCAATATAGTTTTAGACGATCCCATAAACAGCACGTAAACATATTAATAATAGGAAAAAGATACCAAAAGGACATGTAAAAGGAAAATAAAAAGACTTTTCAATGAGTGTACGACAGCTTATGCTACTACTCTGTTCGTCAGACAAGAGCAAGTGGAATGAGAGTTAAATTCGGAACCGATCAGCAAGAAGTCAAATGTCTGAGTAAAGGAACTATCTTCTCATACATTTAAGTAATATTAATAACCATATATGTAAGCATAGACTATTTCTTTCAATTGCTTACTTTCTCTGAGATACATGAAGCATACTAACGATTTCACGGCCTTCATCTGGTTCATACAACATACCCCAACCGAACCACTGTAACTGGCTCAAACGGGTTCTAATAAACTCCCACTCATTTTCATATAGCAAAGGTGTAGAATTACAGTAACGAACATTTTCTTTACATCTTCGTAGATTTCTATGACGAGGCCTGTCTCCTTCTTTTAATGACCCAATTTTGCTTTGATATACCTCACTAATTGATTTCGTCAAGGCAACAGCTGCATCTAGCCAAGCATCAGAACCAAGCTCGCCAGTTATAGCCAAATAATGAAGCCATATATTCCAGACAGCATTACACAACGTTGTCTTCTCTTCGTCTGATAGGTTTAACTCTTTTGCTAAACTATTTGCTTGAGATTTCATTATAAACTAGAAGGTGATTGAAGTGAAATAAAAGACCGATGATAATATAGGCAATCAAATTGATAGTTATTGCTGATTAGTGATGATAGTTTTATAAAACTGCTTTAGTTGCGTATAGTAAAGAAAACAAAATCATAAAAAAATTCAAAAATAACAATGAAACATGACAGCTATAAGTAAGCTACATAAAACGAATGTCCAACTTTGGATTTCCAGATACTGATTAAAAAAGCTTAGTGTAAATGAAAATGGTGTCAGTGATAGTAACATGAAAGCTGCAGAACCAATCCTAACAAATACATAAATAGTTTTTGTGCTAACGACGACGTTCACACTATTATTTTCCCTAAAGTAAGACAATGGTCTGAAAACCACTGAAGACCAAGGAACACTTGATAACTTTCCATCCCCAATCTATACTCCTCAGCAAACTCAGGACCATCAGATCTCAGGGTAAGTAAATTAACACAGGTTTTAGGTTAGAATTTCTCCCAATCGATATTTATCCGTGATACAGAGCAAAAAGATCATCCAATGTCATTCAAGAGTAATTCGCATTTATCTCCAACCTGATTTCAAGCATCACAGTTTTTTAAGTTGGGTTACAAGAAATCCGTCTCAATCCGTTATCAATCAGTATTATATAACCTCTGATGTCTGTTTTATTACATCAGCGAGTAGAATGATGATAAACAATGAGTTACAAGTACGTACTTTACGGATCATAAGAAACACTAGTGTTTATAATTATGAATGAGAAAGTACTGAATCCTACTGAAAGTATTACGAATTTTTTAAATCTTATTATGGGAATCTTTTGCCGTATATAATCATTGGACCCTTTGAGAGCCAATTAAAACCAATGTAGGTTCCAGGTAGAAACAATATTAATTAAAGGAAGAAATAAATCCATGACTACAAGCATATTTTTTAAAATTCCTTTCGGATGACAGAAAGAATACTGCAGTTAAGCTATTCTAATTCTAATCCATTGGACTATGAGTGAACTAGACTTTGGAAACACTTATTCTACTGCATATGAACAGCTCGTCTAATGCTATCAGACTTCCCCTATCAGTATACATCGATCGACAAACAGACTTACTGTAAACGGTTCCGATAGGCGCCATGGCCGACTTTTCTCTTTGGATTTGTGTTTCTGGCTTATATTGATGATATCTACATCATCCGAAGTGAACAAGTCGTCTAATGTATCACAATTCCTATTGCGAGGGACAGAATTTGCCGTTTGATTAACGGCACTATTTGCTTCAATTATTTTCACATCCAAAGTTTCCTGGTTGTCTGCACTTACTGGATTCAACTGCTTTTGTATTACACGTAATCCACGAGTTTCACAGAAATCCTGAGACTGAAAATATACAATTGAGAATAATGTTTTGATAATATTTTCAAATTAAGAAATCTACAATAAAATGTTAAAATTCACAGCCGTATGAAATATCTAGACTAACTAAAAAATGATAATACGCTCCACCATAAGTGGACATCCATAATATATAGCTCAGATTGTACTTCACATCGTAATTGAGTGAAGCGAATTTAAACAATTAAAATAACTACTAATATTGAGTAAGTAGAGTTATTAGATAAAATGTATTGGTACCACTTGTATTACTAATGCTTAATCTGAATACTACTATATCAAATGAGAATATGGTACAATATTTAACTAATTTTAAACGCGACAACTTGTCTTCGAATAAACAAGACAAAAGCGACTGGTATATTCATAATCATTGGTTTTTGCAGAAGTCAAATCAAAAAGTATAATCGAAGCACCATTACGGAAGACAGTAAAGTAGATAATATCCAAGTATTGGTTTGTAAAGATTTGATTGATTCCTCACTGGCGACTGGCCCTATTCAGGTAGGTAGTTACCTGGGTTCTACTGGGAAGTCGTGACTAGTAGGGTGCAGTAGGTCGGGTGTGAGGACAAATACTCGCCGAAAACATTGGCTAGTGGTCGCGCTATGTCGTGAATTGGCAGAGGCTAGAATTCATGCACTGGCCATTGGATCGGGTCCCAGTGGCTTAACAGTCTACGAGCTCGCTAGCCTTGTAACCAGACGGTCCTGGGTTCGAACCCCGGCAGGTGCGTACTAATGAAGAGTCCAAAAACTAGGACGAGACAGCTGTCCAGTACTCCCAGCTGGTTTTCCAATAGTTCTCTAACCAATGTCAGCTCATGATGAAATCCTGCAACCGAAGTAGATATTAATTTCACTTATGAGGGATTATGCACTGAACATAAGCTACATTTATTGGTTTTCATCAACACGATTGATATGTAATCACACGATAAGTAACTTCCAAAACCTACAACTTAACGTTATGTATGAACTATCGAAGGTCTTTCCGAGATCCTATAAAGACTATAAATCTCTTAAAGCTGGAAGGATTTCACTGATTTAAAAAAAATAAGCGAATGAAATCCAACTAAATTGCTTACAAATATAAAGTATCCAGGATGAATCAGATAATTCATTAGGGTAAATCTGATCATGAGTGGACATTGTGGGGAAGTATAAAATCTTTCTAAAATCCAGATTAAAATTGTCAGATACTAATGAGCAGAAATGAGAAAGTGGAGATGGATTGGACATTCGCTGAGGAGGCCGCTGGGTGACATCGCGCGTCAGGCCATAGCTCGAGTGGAACCTGAAAGGGAAGCGGAGAGTGGGACGTCCAAGAATGACATGGAGGAGATCGTGTGAAGAAGATTTGAAACAGTATGGACTAACATGGATGAAAGTGAAAGGTACAGCAGAAGACAGAAGCAAGTGGAGGCGTGCAGTTGAAGCCCTATGTTCCACTATGAACCCAAGTGAATAATAATAATATAATGAGCAGTTATATGACTACTTATATAAAAAAACAAGACTGGTGTTGTACTGTGATCGAAATTAATTAATCCTGTGACTGTTGATTGAATTTATTGATCTTGCTTCAGGACAAATCTTAAAAATGAAATCTTTGTGCATTCCATGGCATTAAACACGTTAACATAACATAAACTTGCCCCAAAACGTTTTTAAAAAGTAGTCAGATATAACTAACAAAACCAAAAGAGGAACTGAAAAGCTTGCATACTTCAGACAATGAACAAAATTACTGATGATTCTCAATTGAAGGTGAAGTGTTTATGCCATAAGTTGTTACTTCAGGGTAAGTCGTCAAATAAAAGAAGTGAATTAGATCACGAATCTCACCCGTCGTACATATATATATATATATATACTTTTGAGTAATTAAGTAACACATGTAGTTTTGATGAAAGGGTTGATAGGTCACTTTGAGTACTTGTCCTTTTCAACTGAATTTAAAACTACGTAAAAGTAATGTGCAGAAGTTGATTCATAGCTCTGAATATTCTTTTAATACTAACATATGGTTACCAGAGCAATCAACAATTTTTTTTCAAAATTTTCAGTGACCACAAATAGAGGTAAATAAATTAAAGCCTGAAGTACATTTAATTTGGAACCCAAGGGAATAATAATACTCATAATAAATCAAAGTCAGTGGATTGAAGGTTGGAACTACACATGGGGGCAATGATGATATGTCATTTGCTTTGGCAAGTCGATATTCTGTTTCCTTCCAAACGTTATTGATTGACTCCATGTGTTAGAATTGCAATTTGATTAGTTATAAAATGTGAATGCAAGCATTCAGGCTGTTATGAAATAATGTTCATGTAATCGACTGTTCAACAGAAGGGAAATTAAGTGGAGAAGAAGCATTATTATGACTATACTGACAAGCGCTGTTTAGTTCATTTTGTGTTCCTACTCCCTAGTCTCCTCCGTTACATTATATCTGTACAAAACGTATGCATCCAGAAAAACTGTGTATACTATAATATCGAGGAATCTAGTCACCTCAAGATAACAGACTTTTACAACCTCTAGTTAAACAATAAGATTAAGATATTGGAAGTTTAAAATATGAGGTGTCATATTTTACTTCTAATTGACGTTTTCAGAGTAATACAGAAGCATATGCGAACAGCTACAGCTCATTTTTCCACCGGTCAGTTGTAAAAAAGAGATGGTAGCAAGAAATACTATTACTTCTGGATGTTTACTCTGTACAATTATAGTGACATTTAAGGTTTATTCGGATCATCATATTGGCTAATTTGTCACTTATGCACATACCATGTAATTTCGACAATATAGTAGGGGTATAAACGACAAATGCTAGTTACTTAAAACAAGTGCCATAATATCTGCATTAAAGACCAAGATACGTTGAGTCTTAATGCAATCGCATATATCAAATCCCTTTGCCTGTAATTTGACCGAAAATAAGAGACACGATGTATGTTTCTGTTAGATAAGAGCCTACATTTAATCTGTATATATTGCCTGAACTCATGTTGCTATGCTGGTAATGCGTTTCTCGGTCGATGTACTCCGCCCGGCATTCGATCCCCAGACGACGCACTCCTTTATCTCACTAAGACAGTAGTAAGGTCGGTAGAGAGGGAAGGTTGGACATGAGGCTAACAACCGAACCCCATAAACACCATTGCTACCGAAATGTCGAAGCTCTGGCTTGAAGCCCTATGTTCCACTGGGAAAGTCAAGGAATAATAAAAAATATAAATAAATAAAATAATTTATAAGAATGAATAAAAACTTCCCGCTGATAAATGCCTCCAGAACTAACGTTAAAAAGCAACGAAAGTGACTACTGTTTTGCATCACTTATGGTTACTTGGTCGCGCATTCAAAATATCCAATTGAAAGTTGGAAAGAATTCATTGCAGCGACACAAAATAATAGATATACCACTACTGCTACTACTACCTTGTCTAGGACATGTAAAGTTAAAAAAAAACCAGGAGAGATTTAGTTGCAAAACTATAGTTTACAAATCAGCATTTTCACCTTTAAGACTCACCTGTGTAACTCCTCGAAAAACACCTGTTGCTGTCCCACATTCTGCACAAATTAGTTGTCCAGTGTTTTCATCTTCAATAAGATTACGATTTTCACAAGTTGGACAGCTCATTTTAGCTGTAAGAAAAGAAGTAACAAATACATTTTAAACTTTTTTAATGTACTGAACCGGAAAACTAGTACGGATAGGATTTACCTTTTTCTATATCAGAGTTAGCTAGTGTCACAATCGTAGTGGATAAACCGCTTAGCCTTGTAAAATCTAAAGATAACTCTTTATTACTCAATGTCACTGAGCCATGAGAACCCTGGTTCCTTGTAAGCAATATTTACTTTTCCACAGGCAAACTGATTAGCCCAAATGCTCTATGTTGTCTTAGTACTTTTTAAACAGCATATTTTTAGTAAGCCAGAGAGGAGATTTAGAGTCATGGATTATATCCCTTTTCCAATTAAGGATGAGTAATAACTAAGAAATTTGAATATGAAATGTTAAACTTTAATTATTAGTTTGCCTAGTCCAGCTGTAGGTGTTGATTACTACTTTATTAGTCAATAATCTGTTGCTGCTCATCTCTTTCGTTGCTCCTGATGTGGCTTATTGGATTTAGCGCTTGACTTCCAACAAATGAGTCCCAGATTTGAATCACGCTCCACATACTTCAACTAGGTACTATGATCAGCCCTCATACAATGTATGGGGCTCACAGCCCAGTACCTGATAATGAAGTTCCAACTATCAATTCTTGATGTTGATTAACATGGACAGAAACCCAGTTGGCGATCTCTATGACTTCACTAATAGCAATACAACCATATTTTAACATCATATACAGATATGTCACTATATCTCACTGTAAATAAACTATACCACAAGAAGGAAAATTATGATGAAGAAACATCCTACTCTAAACAAATAATTTTTACGGTATGTGTAATAAATTTTACTAAGAAAACAAACAGGACATCATTTTTTTAATAAAACTTCAAGTGAACGAGTGTAGCTAACATATCCATTTCAGTAAACATCATTGATGGAATATTTCCAGCTACCAAATATTTTTTGAATACCCCGTACTAAGGGTTTAGGAAATTTTGTGGATTAAAGGGTCTGCATACAAACGCCATATTAAACCACTTATCGAAAAGCAAGCTGAGTAATAAATCATGTTTTGGCTTACAATACACTCGTTCGAGAACACTTTCCGGTATGTTACGAACACACCTTATGTAAGAGCGGGTAAAATCCTATTTTTAGGGCTTAATTAGTAATGGGGTTTATTCAGGCTTTACTGGGTGGATGACAACTGCTGAAGCTAATGAGGTACAGATCGATAGCATTCAGCCACTATCATGTCAAAAAAGCGCTAATTAAATTCGTTAATATTCCATAGCTGTTCGACATGGTATCATAAACAACATGAGAGAAATGAATCTACTTGTGTAGTAACAATTACTAGTAATTTTAGCTATACATTCGACAATTATGGCAAAATGCAATACCTGAAGCGTCTAGTGGTTTCTATTCAGTTTCATTTGAAAATGGCGTTTGTTTATTGAACCCAGTGTAAAAAGATGTAACGTGATAATTGGCTAACATAGCACTATTTGACTAGAAAAGTATAGCACCTATGATAAGCAATACGGAAAGAAACGTGAATGACTCGTTTACTTCAGAAATACTTGATGTCATAAATAATAGAGAGAAAAGAAAAAGAAGTTCAGTAAAGATATCTTATCGGCTATTTTATTCTCAAAAGCTGTACAATCGCATTTATATACATAAGTTTACATAGATACAATTATTATTTATGTATATAAAGGCGATTGTACAGCTTTTGAGAATGAAATCGTCAAAAATAATAGACGACAAACTCTACGTGTGTCGGTGTACACAAAAGGCCACTCTCGCTTAAAAACAGGAAGAGATTTTTGATTAAAACGCTAAAATGAAAGTAACTAGACCTTATCCAAACAATTTCAGAACATCAGTAAGATTTCAACCGCGAAGTTAGAGAAGGGTTCAGAATGGAATACATCTATATTTTATGGTCATTTTTATATCTCTACTTCAACTTCACCAACTTTGAAAAAGACTTCGATAGAGCTGACTGTGAAGTCATTTGAAAACTGCCTCAACACTACGGAGTGGACCAAACTTCTGTCAACCTCACTCACCACCCATACCATTATGCCACGTGTCAAGTGATTTACAAAGGAAGACTCAGAGGTGCCATTGTGGTGGAGAGAGTAGTCAGATAAGGTTGCCTACTATCACCGATGATATTCGTGATTTTGGTGGACTGCATTGTGTCAGACCGTGGGGTACGATGAAGGAAGAACGAGGTGGGTTGAAAAGAAGACTAGAAGATTTGGACATCATGGAAGCAGTGTGTCTGATGTCACACAAAGTCTAAAATCGACGGGAGAAAACCAACAAGTTGGCATGAGAGGCAGGCAGAGAAAGCAGAACTTCAAGTGAAGATACAGAAGACAGGTGATGAAGACAACCAACCTGACCAACAATAACAACCACCAATCACTATAAACGAGAGAAATATGAATGATGCATCTTTCACCTATTTAGACAGCATCAGCTACAGTCAGGCAGGCAGTCACAGATAACAGCTCCCCCTACAATTCTGTCGATTTAGAGACACCTGAAATGCAGGTTGGGTGTAAACCCGCTATATATCCTAGAGTTAATATGTCCAGTGATGATACTTCCCCTATTGCCAGGTGAGTTTTTACTTGTAATTTGTTTCACACTTTTGTTTCCAGCAGTGTCCAGCCAACCTTTAAAACTTCGTCACCAATTTCAGCAGCTGGAACATCCAAGTTGTGATTTGTAATCACTTAATTCAAGTAACAAGTAGTTGCGAAAGACGTAATGAACAAATTGAAGAAACTGTGGGGTCGAATTCAGATAAGTGTATTATCCTTTTGGCCTTCATCTACATGACTTCAGAAGCGATCAATGACCTTATCAAGTTAACTGAAGAACTAGTAGCTTCAGTTAAGTAGCAAAGGTCATTGAAGAATAAGGTGCTAAAATTCACTGATTCATTTGATAAGAATTTCCCTATTTGAAACTAAAAAGGATTTGATTTTCTTCGATCAGTCACTGAAAGATATCATAAGAACAGACACCTTCGTAAGCCACACTTTAAATGTAAACATTTGCAGATTGTGCACCTGAGCAGTTTTCTATCTATTAAAGCTAGAAAAAGTATGAGAAATATTTTGAACTGCATTGTGCATCCACATCTCAGAGCATACTACACACTGAACGGTAAGGTGAAGAAACCTGGATTAAGGAATTCTGCTTCCTTTCAAATTAAGTAGGCACTCAACAAGTATCTTGACGTCTAGATCTAATAAAATCACATTTTGCCAGAGAATTCCAAGATGAAGTTCAGTTCAAGAAGAAAATAGATGCAGCAACAAAGAATTATGTTCATGACTTGAAAGATAAATTCCGACAATGTATGAGAAAAAAGATATGCCATACTGAGTAGTAAAATAATCCCAATTGTTATTAAATGTTACTGGTTTCTCATTTCGGCTTATTCATAATATTAATATAATAGTCTCATACAACACAACTATATTCTTTCTGAATTAAATTTTGATTAATTTTTAGCATGATTCGGTAGTCACAATGCAAATAATAAATTATCACCGGTGAGTGAGAACTCATTTCATATTTCGTTTGTCAACTAAGCATAGATACGTACCTCACTAATGTCTTTTATTTCTGTATTACAGAACCTCACTGTAGACATTGAATCAGAAAGGAAAACAGACCAATGGATCAAAAGAAATGCATGAATATTTGACGTGACAAATTTAAAAACTGTACTTATGTTAAAAGTAATATTTTCTAACTAACGCTTCACTATGTATAAATCTATTATAGCCTATACAAAATAGGAACTTCCCCATTATCCATTGTTTTATTTATGCAAATGGGAGGTATGTCTTCCGGGATAATCCGGGGTTTTTCCTGGAATTTTGACGGGTTTTCTGGTGGATAATGCTGCATTTCTACATCATTTTCCCACAAAAGTTTTAGTACTGCAGATTTTCACCAACAACTGCCTTCGTTGGTACCAAACTAAAAATCAGATGACCACAGGGAATAAGTAAGTAGTAAGGAACACTAACAGCGAAGCCATCAAGAACCTACTGCGCAACAAGTATATAAGAAGGAAAGATGGGTCGGACACATGCTGAGACTGCAGTGATATCACACGCTAGGCTCTCGAGTGCATCCCGAATGGGGAACAGAAAGCTGGGTGCGGGGCCACAGGTGACTTGGAACAGCTCGTGTGAGGAGGGGACGAAAGCTTGTGGACATTCGTCGAGCCAACTAAAGACGACTGCAAAATAAGACGATGTGCATGCTTGTGTTTTGCTCGGAAACTACGAGAATAATAATGATTACTATTATGCCCATCACCAGAAAAACAATATGTGCATTTTCATGTTGAATAGTCCATGAGAGCAAAAGCTTTGTTGAGGATGGTTACAGAGGTCACTCACATGTGCAATCCCACTCGTCAAGCAATGATCTGAAACAGAGAGCAAAGCGCACGTTAGCAGTGTGATCACACAAGTGTCATGTGCTAGTAAGAACGAAAACTCAAGGTCAAGGATTATATTTACAACCAATCAAATGCCTTACACATGTAGAAGTTACTCAAAAGTAGCGTGACATTTGAAAATGTCACGACGTCGACTAAAATTCAGATTACGATCTCGATTGGAAATGGTAAAGTTCAAGTCCGCGTTAATCCATTTTTATTAAATTTCAACATTTATGCGTTCCCCTCCTGAAGAAGTTGGGTGACTCTAAATCACAGCGGCTCGAAACGAAACTACCAAGTGAAGAGCTTGTAAAATTTCCATCGACCAATATGATGCGTCCGAAATAAAGGTGCGTAACTTGGGAAAAACGCTCATATGTTGGGAATGCAATAATAGAAAGTAGTTACACAGAGTAATTTCCGAATATATGTTCCAAGAAAACCCCCAAATTTCTCACAGGAGTTCTAATGATCAGGTTAAACCATGGAATTTGTATGAGTCCCATAGAAAGGACCAACGACGTCGTCCGTACGACCGACTGCATTGTGGATATAGCCCGGGGGTGATAAGTCTATCGTCTAAGTAGCACTTAAATACTAGATTTGGATGAAAATTACTGCGAAATTCATATACAGTATCTGTAATTCCAACTATAATACTATGGACTGATCTGATTGGTATTTCGAGGCAGTAAGCCATCTCATTAGGTAGTTTAGTTCTGGGCTGCCATAGTTTATAGGCATCAGAAATTGTATGAAGGCAATAACACCATTTCCAGGATTCATGGTAAATACAGAACAGTGAGGAATTAAGCAATACGACTCGATCGCTCGCTCGGAGTCTGCAGCCTCAGGATCTCGTTGATAAGCGTGAATCAAAGTGGCCAGCGTTTTAATAAATAAGAGGACTAAAAACAAATTTATACAATTCCAGGTGTGACCAATCCACTGAATATCCGAATATATATGATTGTTATCATGCTGTTAGCAGATAAGGGATTTGATCAGAGACCCATAGAGATCGCCAATACTCTATTCTATATACTCTTCTACTTTCAGTCAAGTTGGAAGCTCTCAGAAGATAAAATACGAGTTGTAAATTACTTAAAACGATCTCAGTGTGTTTAAGCAAAAATCAAAACAATTGTTTCCTGGACGTTTCGCTGTGTAAGCCACAGCATAATTATTCAGATTCTATTAAACAACAAAAATATATAGTCAAAAATCACAAAAATTGATGTCAGTTCCTCCAAAGGTCACTCGTCGGTAGACATTTGTCCCAATATAAAAGTGTAAACAGTCATCACATATTTGTAATGACTGATATCAAATTGTCACATATGCGTATTTGTCTGCGTGAATGTGTCTATGCACATGAATTGGCGTTACTTGGGAAAGGACTAAAATTTAACGTATAAGAATACCACTGAAAAATATAGAAATAGCTTCGATCATTGAACCTATATTGACCTTTTACCTGGTGATAAAGTTATTGAATGGAGTCGTAAGGTTGGATGTAACCTGTCAAATCAAAAGCAGGTAATCACAAGTTTTTTGAAGAACGAACGTCATGCATTACAAAAATTAAGATCAGACAAATCCAGTATCATAGCTAGAGTTGACAAAGGCAAGCATCACACTGGTTCCCAGTAGAGATGACTATGACAAGAAAGCTATGGAACATATCGAAGCAGGTCCATACTCACTAGCACCAATAAAAAAATGTCTAGTACTCTTGTGGTGGTGCGGTACAGACAGTGTGTTTCGGTGGAATATGATTCTCACATATCTCCACAGTTCAATAGAGCATTAGTGACAGAATAATATATGTATTTGAACACTCTATTCCATGTCGTTTAATGTAAACTAAAATCACACGCTCAGTGATTGGTTAAGGAATTTAAACTGTATATATGTAAATGGAGGTTTGATGAATTGAAAATATACCTTCGCTTCCGTGTCTTGCCTTCTGCTGTTACACTTTGAACAGCGCAACAGCACAAGTGTGTAGTTTACTTGGAGAACTGAAATCGAAACTAGGGCATTCAGTTTGGTTTTCAAAAGCTTCACAAACAAACTTGGTCACTAGATGTTAATGGAAGGCCGATAATCACCAAAACAGATGTTCCTTCGGGATCGATAATTGATTTCGCCAATTGAGGAACATACACTTTGTCAAAACACATATCAAGAACACTGAGAGTACTTCACTATAATATTTCTTCAAAATGCGAACATTTTTGAGGAGTTTAAAAGAAAGGTAATGGATATAGCTATTGAAGAGGACGAAATTATCGCCAGTTTTGATATGATTTCTCTATTTACCTGTATTCCCACATGTGATTCAGTTGTTTGTATAGAACATGAATTTGAAAACAATCAGGAGATATTATCTAAATGTTCATTATCAATAGAAGACGTTATAAGATGCTTAAAACTTTGTTTAGATTCTACCTATTCTACCATTGGGCACAATCTATACTGTCAGATAAATGGAGTTGCAACGGGTCCACCGGCATCTCCAATTGTATCAGATTTGTACATGAAAGCTCTGGAAAGAAAACCGTTGACAAGTTTTAACTGTCATCCTAGAATAAGGTGCAGATATGTACATGACACATTTGTCATTATTAAGAAAGCTGAAAAGTAAAACTTTCTAACACAGGCTAACTTCATCTCGAAATGAACAAAGTTTACCAATGAAATAGAATTGAATGGGGGGAAATCTAAACTTTCTTGAGTGTCTTGTAAAAAGACAAAATGACGAGAAACCAAAGTTCACCATATGCTGGAAACCGACACATTTTAACAAGAATTTGAATTTCCAATCAGATCATCCAATAAAAATGAAAATTCAGTAGCTTTAAACCTCGCTAACTTCGCTAGAGACATTATAACAGATAATGATACATGGTGAACGAGATATCAAATACACAACAAATTTTCATTGGAAATGGTTACTCGAAAAAAACTGCTAGATAATATTACCAATAAAAGGAGCTTAAAGGAAAACATAAAATTAAAAAATCTTGGCTACTGACGATAGCTATTCCATGTTGAAAGGAGACGGTTGAACAACTCCAAAGATTACCTGCTTTATATAATATTAAAGTCTATTTCAAGTCCTCTAATTCTTTAAGGAAAGCTTTGGTGAATGTCAAAGATGTGGATTCTGAAATGACACAAAACATCTGTGTCAAGAGGATTAAGTATTTAGGAAGTGGGGCTTGCTATGTAGGGAACAGAGGTTGGCAGGTAAAGGTCAGAGTGAATGAACGCAGATTGTGCACGAAATGTCCACCTTGAAGTCAAGCGTAATCAAAAAGTGTCGAAAAATGATCAGCTACAGCAATGCACACTATAGACAGCGGACACAAGATTGATTTCTTTAATGTCGAAACTTTAGGAAGAGGCTTTCCCTTATTTAAAGAAAGGTTTATCTCTGAAGCCTTGCATATTTTAATCACATAGGGTGCAGTAAATAGGAGAGAAGACATGGACTTATCACTTATATGGCGGACTCTAACGAAGCAAAACAGATGAGAGAAAAGTGTGGTCCTGTAATATACCAATATAAAAATACCTACATATTCCTAACTGTGTAGGACACAGCAGTCGTACAGTCATGGATAAGTATTATTTAAATTAGGTAACTCTGGTTTATGATGAAATTACATGGTTGCTGTCCATTTTATCTTTAGACTGTGGGAACAATCTGTTAACTAGTCATTCAATGGAGCACATCTAGAAATATAGTCTTCGCATTAAAAAAGAAAGTTCCGTTAACCAGTTGTTTTCTTCAGGATCATTCTACATAGATTTGTCACTAATTGCTCCACTACCCATTTCACTCTGCTAAATAGACTATAACTTAGTTGCTGTAATACTAGCTACTTCTACACTTTATACCTCTTAAAGTGAACGCAATTTCCTAGACGTTGGTAACAAATACTTGTATGCATGTATAAAGGTGATAGTGCTAAGAATGTCCTCAGGTATCGATGTATCTGGTGACCTAATGCGAAGCTATTAATGTACAGCATACTGTATGATTGGGACAGGCTCGAAGCAATGCAATGCTGCAACTACAGTTATTGCGAAAAAATCTCAGAGCTTAACATCAAAAAGGAGGGAGGTTGGCGCATGCTGATCAGCAGATATGGTAGTGGTCACAAATATGAATCGCTCAGATCTGCAGGACAACAATATGCCTTTTTTGACAGCTCGAGAATTAAACATCACTCTGTACCCTCAACAAAATATAAAATAATAAGGGTTGTACAGGTCTAAATTATAAATAAAAAAGTGCTTTTGCTCTTACCATCTACAAGACTGTTCAGCTTCTTGTCATGATGCTACCTATTGGGCCCTACAGAAATTCGTGAGACATCACACAAGTCAGCTTGTCTTACGGGTTCTAATTTCCCAAATCTTTGAATTCACTCCTCAATTAAATATCACTTACCAACCTCACAATAATCTTTTTATTTACGCACTATTATACTCTGCCTTATGTTAACTACCTATGTCATTATTAAAGGTAAAACTTGCTCTTTGCTCATATTTGTTGCTTGCTAAAATCTGGTTGCTTTGATTAAAGACACAACAACACCAGTGTTTGAACAAAGCTATATCTTCATCGAAAATATCATAGTGTCCTTGCTTAGACCAATATGGTTATCATTACACATTGCAAATATATACCATCATTTCAAGTACTATATAGCTTCCTCTCCTTGTATTTATCTTGTAAATATACTTCCAATAATGTATTATTCATAATCACATTGTTTACCATTTTGCAGCTGCGCAGAATTTTCTTCTCTTCCTGAAATAGCGTTCAATCACGTGGCGGCGTAGCACTCACCCAGATGTACGCTGTTCACTGGTTGACCATAACTATCAGCAGGAAACGGAACGAAGTTTGGGTTGTCGCTCAACTTTGATGGTGACCTTAGTAAACGGTTTACAATTTCACATTTATAC